AACTAAGTTATGTTTCATCATTATTCATTATGGGCACTTATTTAGACATTTGCGATGTTTAAAAGAGTGCTCAAGCGCGGTGGTCGTCGCGCTGCGCATGTGCGACATTTGTGTTGATGAACATTGATTTTCCCACAATCCAATGCGTTAAATGGAAATCACAAGTATAAGGTTTGACCTGGGTGCGTCTTGCACTAATTACCGCCGGTGACTCCTTCGATATCTTACAATCACCTAAAAATTACTTAATTAAAGCTTGGAAACATCTCAGTTCGTACTTGTTGATCTGCACAACAGTCAAAGTCGCCATCTTTGTTTATATGAGACCAGAGGTACATTACTTGGGGTTTGTAACTACGGTGACATGATACCAAGATCCCGTCACAATCTCGCTCTCGCATAAGCGTTCCAACTCAGAAAAAATGCGAATGCGCATGCCCGAGGTAACTAGGATACTGGGATGTCCAGGTGGATCAAAATAGCTGCCCACGATATGACGGATTACGAGAACTATATTTTCTGTACATTTTCGATGTATTACATTTTTCACTATGATGGTGACAAGAAAAGTTTATTTTTTTCATTACAAACCTTGAACATTGATATGCGTCATGTCAGAAGGTCGTAGCCTCAGTCTCGCTATCTACGAGAAGAGACTTGAATGGGATCTTGACATGATGTCACCATACAGTACTATGCGAGTTGCAAACCCCAAGTAATGTACCTCTGATGAGACCCATATATCTCGCGCATGCCTTTTAAACTACTAGTACTTTGCATTTGGTGTCGGTTTCAATATAATAAATTATAAGCTATTGCTAAATGTAAGTAATATGTTCGCTCTGTATTATTTTGGTTTGTGGGACTGTGGAATGTCTTAATATTATAATTAAGACATCTGACAGATGTCTGCGATAAAGATACATTTTAGTTTTTAAGGGAATGATTCAATTAACAATAAAACCAATAGATTTGATGCAAAAATCTTGCATTACAAAGACAATAAGACATCAAAGTTGGTGTGATTGGGAGAAAACTGACGTCATCTCGTTCCACACATGTCGACAGAGACGGAAACCGAATATAGAGTAGATATTAACGCTGGTACTGTTCCTATTGTTGTATAACAGGATTCAAGTCTAGTTTTGTGACTTCACTTTTGATATAGCTATTCATATTAAACGTCAACCATTTCCAAATATAACCGATCCAGGCGAGTCTGGAAGCTTCACTGAAGAAATTACAGTTATTATAAAACCATTTGAACGACCAGAACTAGACAAACTATTCGTGGACGCCATCGTTGGCGATCACTGGCGGATCCAGAAATTCGGTACGGGGGCGCGCACTCTAATTGACGTGACCGAAGTAGACCTTCGGTGGGCTGTCTGTCAATTGATTTGCCCCCTAAATCCGCGCCTGGCGATCATAATTGCGAACTATTCACAAAAATCAAGAACCATTTCGGAAAGATCACGTCAAATATTATACAATGAATTTCAAGCGTTATCGCAAACGGATACCAAAGACATACCACAGTCCGGTTCCTAACAGGGACTGTGTACAAGGGCTTGCCAACTGATGCTGAATCCCCTCGTGCGAGCACGAATCTCTGTGGGACTGTGCACGTATATCCTATGCTGATAACGCTTTTTTTTATCCACAAACGAAATTCATTTGGAACTGATGCTCGAAAAACTTGAAGATCGCCGCATTAAGTATAGTATAGTAAATATCTCAAGATGGCGGCCCCCATATAGTAAATATCGTATTTATTTTATTACTAGTATCACGTTTGCGCCAGCTGACTGTGACTCAACCCGGGACTCAACTTACATATGACTCATGATGATTACAAATTGCGCCATCTTGTGACGGGAACGCGAACCAAAATGGCCGATACCGCTAAGTTCTTCAACTTAATGTTGTGTTGAGCAAGTCTTGTGAGGACAAATCCTAGTAAATTGTTTGGATAACCGGTGTAAGGTAGGACTAGATAAGATCGGGAATTATTTTTCACGTATCAGCTGAAGGTGTCTGACTGGTGACATGATAGTGTGCTATCGCTTCACATGATCCCTTCATGGACGTACTTCAATTTGGTTTTCGTCATTCAAAATCCAGCACGAAAAAAGCGCTTCAATGCAAGACGATTGAATTATTTAAATAAACAGTTCTAAATTGAGATTTTACACGTTGACGGTCTCGCTTGCTTGCGTTCTTCTTTTAATAACGGACTTGGCTGAAGTTAGCAGACACTCCCTGCAAACAGTGGCAGTTAGCAGACACACTAGCAGCCACAGTCTATCAGGCATAGCACTGCTTTGAATCAATGTTTGTATTACCCTTTTTCATAAAGTAATCATTGTTACTACCTCATACTAAAATATGTTTGGATATTTATAGCAGTAACAAATTCTCACTTCAGGTCAGGTTAGACTTAAATTATACCACGAATATTTACATTTAAGATGTAAATTTTGGTATGTGTTGGTTCTTGGATATTTCTGCTTCGTCGTCCTGTACTTCGTTTAGTAATTCAGACTTCCCAGATTGTGGGCTTAATCATTAATTGCTTAGGTATGTGCACTCTAAAAGTGTTAAGCAATCAAACAAAAAACTTCAGTCTTCACTTTTTCATAGCATAAAAACAGTTTTCACCCTCGCTTATTATGACACCTTCAAAAGCAAGTAATTTCTATTTCCCGAGGTAAACAATGGTTTAGTCCCCTACATTAGGCTACAAGAATCAGTTTTTTGTGCATCACGTGTTTATTTGCCTTCAATTGCGTTTTGGTGGTTGTCACTGTCGTCCTTGGAATCTTGTTGATAACGTTTTGGTTTCAATTTACATAACTGAGAAAATTACATTTTTTTGTCAACTGAATGCTGAAAATCAAATTAGCATAACAATGCATTTGACCTTTGTCGCCATTTTTAATTATTCTTGACTCAAGATGGCGCTGACCTCTTGACCTTGGTCACGTGACCTAGATTTCTCCCTCGTCATTGGCTGAATCGCAGATTGATGCCTACAGTTCAGAATAGTCTATGGTGGGTAATTAAACGTAGTGAATAGGTGGATTGAAAACCCTGATTTACTTTAATAAATTGAGATTAAGGTAGAGATGCAGTTTACCTGACAGGTATTTTAATTAGTTAATTAGAAAACCAAGATGACCTTCCTTGTCCACAAAACTATATATTTTCGAAAAGCTTATTGTATGAATTTTAAAATTTTGTTAGTATTTTTTTTTTATGAACACTGTAGTTTGAAATATGTGCTTTTTGGTCAAAAGTGATTAAAAAAAAAAAGCTCCTAAACTATGCTTCTGTTTCCTGTCAAAATTGGTTTATGGGTACATCTGTTTACTATGAAAAAAGTGCCGTCTTGAAAACTGTCTACCAGTTGTCAATTTTGCAGGGCAGCAGCCCAAATTTCACTACGTCAAGTTTATGCATAAATTAACACCCAGTTGTCTGTACGATTGTTGTAACACTGTTCAACCAAAAACAATGCCCCGACGGAGTTTTGAAGATAAACACATTGTCAATCATTTGTGAAAATTTCAAAACAAAAGGTCAAAGCGTCTAGGAGTTATTTTTTTTAAAAGTTCTGGGATGTTCACTAAAAAGAAGCTGAGATAATTGCTAATTTGCATAACAATTCACTCAGTGAGAAGTTTGCTAATGCTCTTAATTAAAATGGCTGTAACAGTTCCAAATTTAAATGTATCAGCGTTTTGTTAAAAGTTAAATATAGTGCATAATATGGAGATCCCGTCATTTCTTTTTTTCACCATGTTTCTTTTTTATTAATTATGTACAGCCTTGCTAAATCTTGCTAAGCATTCAAAAGAGAGAATGTTTGCACCTGTTATCTATATTTTAAAATCGTTTTTGAGTATGTTCCACTATTCACAATTCTACAAAATTTTAACAGTCTATAGCCAAGACTGTTTGTGAGATAATAAAAAGTAAAAAAAAAAAAATTCACTCCAAAGTGCCCACGAACCTGCATCTCTACCTTAAACAATGATTACTTGATGAAAATAAATATTATAAACATTGAATCAAAGAATTGTTACATGCCTGATAAACTGTGGCCGCTAGTGTGTCTGCTAGCTTCCACTGCCTGCTGAGAGTGTCTGCTAGCTTCCACTGTTTGCTTGGTGTGTCTGCTAGCTTCCACTGCCTGCTAAGAGTTAATAATAGTGGGGAGGCTGATATATGGTGATATTCATTTCCAGGATTTATTTACATACCAGCGATATTAGTAATGACAGATTGAAACAGTAAACTAACCTATAATCAGTCAGCTGGCGCTTGTGTCATTGCAACATGTGCAAAACACAAGACAACATTCATGTTATAAAATTAAAATCTTCCAATGTATGAGCAAACAAAATGATTGTATTTTTGATTGGAGGAAGTGGTTTCATTTGGGTGAGCTTGCGATTTGGACCGTATCATTATCTGAAAGGGGGAGAGAACATGCGTAAATAAACCTAATAAATGCATAATGTGATACAATGATACAATACATGAAATACAATGTAGTAATTCACTATTCACTATTTATTTAAAATGAAAAGAATTTGTATGCCTTATTGTTGTTACATACAATTACAATAGCAATTTTCATAAACCTGTGCTCCCTGTAGAAATGAAACAAGTCCACTATAACTAGACAGGTTGGTTGGGGAAACCCTGGAATTCAACTTTTATTCAGTAGTTCTACTAGTAGGCAGGTTTCTAGCTGTAAACAAATCGGTAAAAATGTGACTTTGCATCCCAGAAAACATGAGACAGTGTCTTTTCATCGTTCTTGAGTGGACAAAGTCTGGTAGAAATTGCACGAAATATTTGTTTTCATCAATAATTGTCCAAAATATATTTTAAAAGAAAGACTTAACAAGTCCAAGTTGCTGTTTTGTACAGCGACACTACTCTGTTTACAGTCAGACGAAGCCCTGTCCAGAACAAAGTGCCTCAAAAGCATGGCTACTTTTTCGTTGAGAAAAGTCAATCAAGTAAAAATAAAAACCACAGAAATAAAAATAAACAATACCAGGTAAATAGCTGACGTAGAATAGCTGATTCCAATGTTTCAATAGTGTATAAATGCAACTTATGCATTTCTATTGGAGGTGTGCATTTAATAGAGAAAATATGGTATTTGTACTATCATCACATAATAAAGTCAGGAGACAATAATGACAAAAACAAAACAAAAAAGCATGATATTATGTAAATCTGTAAATGTATTCTGTGTGTTTTCTTGCAGGTTTGTCAAGATGATGTTCTGTATCTCTGCCGATACATTACAAGATATCTGCCTCCAGTTCATTTCCAGTAATCTAAATAAACTTTGCTACCCCTGTAGAGAAGACGACCAACAGGTAATTTACCTGAAATACAAAGATATCTTCCTACATGCTGACCTGGCAGATTCGCTGTTGCAGAGACTTAATGAGAAGCGGCCTATCGATGACGTACTACTGAGTCTATTTGCAAACCCCACAACCACTCAGCTTAAGAGAGCACACTTGAAGGATGCCAAGATAACACCACATGCTCTGCGGTTTTTATCCAAACATAAATTGGTTGACTTAGACATCTCATCGTCTTGGACGGGCAGACACGCTATAAGCGGCAATGACGTGCTGGAGTCACTCAGTCTATGGACCATTAATCACTTACAAGTACTTAACCTCAGTGCTGTTAATCTATTTGTAAACTATCGCCAACCAGAATACGTATCAGGTCTTTGGTCCGAGTTACGATCGCTATCGCACCTAACAATCAGTAAAACCGACACTAATGATGCTATATTACAAATTCTAACTGACAAAATCACTAAGTTGGAATGTTTAGATATTTCGCAAACCAAAGTCACTGATATCAAATGCCTGGAAAAATATCAAGATAGTTTAAAATCGTTGATATTGGCCGATCTGTCAACGGGAGCCGAATTATTCTCTACATTAAGCAGCATGAAACGTTTATGTCATCTAGATATTTCCAAAAACGCCGAGTTTAATAGCGCTCGTATAATGAATGATTCTCAAGTGGGAATTGCTGTTAATGAGTTTTTGGCCGATGACGAATGTTTGCCGTGTATCACAGCAATAGATCTATCAGGTTGGAAGTGTATTGACGCTCCGATACTTAAGGGGTTTTTGTCCAATCATCCTTCCCTCCAGTTTGTTGGTTTGATGTTAACGCCTTTGTGCGATGCTGATTATATATCAGATGAAGGAAATGACGAGTTTAATGCAGACCTGCAGGTAACAATCTAGATT